CATCCACCAGTCTGGCAGGCCTGGAGCTTGTACACAGCGGTCTGAAGCGGTGCCTACAGGCTATTTCGCCCAGCCTGTGGTGGCCTCTCCGTTGATGTAGGCAAAGCCGGGGAAATGCTGCGAGTGTTCGTACTCTGAGTTCCTGCGTGGGCCCAGGGGAGAGTACATGTCCCCAGAAGTGGCATAGCGGGATGAATGCATAGGTGGGCTGGTGTAACAGGTGTTAGCTGGCGACACATCTGGCCACCGGGTGCCGACAGGTGCAGGGTGTAACCGGGGAGTGCTCCCCATCAAGCAAGGCTCCATTCGAGACATCTGACCGTTGAGCTGATACTGTGGAAGAGGAGAAGGCGAGGAAAGACGTTACGGTGATGCAGCAATAAAAGCATAAAATATACAGTCAAGAGCTTCGCATCTCCAACTTTATACACCACATTCTTCCCAGAAAATATTAGACTTTCCAAGTACCACCATCATGACTGAGGTTACAATACAGTAGTGTAGGCCGACCTTAAGATTGATCTTTGCTGACTGTGGTTGAAACCGTAGTGGAACCGGTTCAAGGACCAGAGTTAAATTGGTTAAAATGCGGTACTCCTGGTCCACACTTCTCTTCCCAAGATTTCCCATTTGGAGCCACGATTACAGTGTTTTTGAACCATTAATTTTACCTCAGATTACTATCTTTCCTTTATAGTTTAGCTTGTGATTAATCATGTATGTATGAATGCGTTACATGTGTGCATTAACTTGACTATGTAGCAGGTTGATGCAAAACTTATTTTAAATTATATTTCAACTAGTCTCACTATTTTTATTCGTTCATTTATCGTTCATATTCATTAAATTCATTTATATTTCAGAGATTCCTCTGCATACCACCAGTGGTACTCATATAACAGTTTTAGACCTTAGCTTAGCAAAAATGCTAAACACAGCAAGCTTGGCTCTGGCACATAAACCCCATGAAACATTGTTGGCACATTTTGCTGCAACTTTCTGAGCTGAAAAATGAAGCCAACGCTGAAGCGCCTAAAACTGCAGTTCCTTTACTTTACAGCAGCAATAAACAGCCTGGTACAAAAACTTTTAAACCTTTATTAATGGTTAAAGTTGTGCATAATTAAGTGTGGCCACTTTGAGTGACAGGTGGGTGACGTCACAGGAACCCCAGCTCCACCCACGCTCCATGTCTGTGCCCATTTTGGCATTCAGGACTCAGGACTGCCAAGATGGCGACGGCTGGAGCCACCACACTTCACAACAGCTCTTCAGAAACCTGTGGGTGAGTTTTATACATTCTATATATGGGAGTCAATCTTATTATCTAACTGTTGGCAAAAATGTCAGAAACAAACTGGTGGAGAAATACTGAATCCTTTATTTACTTATTGGCCTAAATTTAGTCAGATTTTACATATTGAGTAAAAGAAATACTCATACAAACAGTTCAGCATCATAAAATCCGACCACGAGTAACTTTTAATTGTAAATGTTTACAGAGTATCCTCAAATAGCTATAAACCTGCTCATATCACAATTGATGCTGTGTAAGCGCAGTAGGGTGTGAACTGACCCTGCCAATGGTAATTTCCTGTCAGGGGAAATTGCTTCACAAGTTGTACCACAGTCAAAACAGATCTAGAACAGAAAATTAAGCCACTTAAGAAAATTATACATCAGCAAAAAAGGAGTTTTCCCATGTTATTTTTGTTGCCTATGGTGACTGAACCCAAACAGCTCAGACTAAATCTGCCTGTTGATAAGAATATTTTGGACAGATGGGGATCCGACAAAGTTTTCTGGTCGTCTAAGCTCCCCCCCTAACCTCTCACACAGACAAAGCGAAGGCATTGTGCCCGATTTAAGCTCAGACAGGCTTAAAAAAAAAAGTGGAAGTAGGACCCTTTTCCCTTTTCTCACTAAATATAAACACAACAGTCGATTCCATTATAAGGGAGCACGGCATGGAAAAAGACAGTCAGTGCAGGTCAGAGAGCAGAACAGACGGCTCAGCTGCCTCTTGTTCACAAGCAGAAAAGAGACCATTGAATAACAATATTTTAATAAACGCCCCATTGCCCTGCTCTGTGGCTACTGGCTTGAACAGATGAAGAGACTATTGAGAGCTGGAAAGAGGAGTAACAGAGATGGGCCCCTCTTGGCCCCGGCCAAGCCACCTTTCACTGTCTGCTTCCGCTGTGTGGAGAGGGTGATTCGGGACTTTTAGAAACACTGCGACCGCTGAGGTCCAGCTGATCTCCTCCCACCATAAAGGCAGCGGAGGCTGGAGGGCCCTTGACAGGAAATTACCATCAAAAGAGTTAACTCACACCAGTCGCTACACGAGCTGTAACATCAGCGACTCCATCTCATCCTAATAACCTTTTTTTCTTTTCTTCTCATGTTTAAATTCAGTCTTGGGACGCCCTAGTGGCTCGCCTGGTGGAGCGTGAGTACTGGCGCTGGGTCATTGCCGCAGAGGCCCAGGTTCGATTCCAGCATGTGGTTCTTCGCTGCATGGTTATTCCTCCACTTCCTCTCCTCCATTTCCTGTCTATTTTCAGCCACCCCTCCCAAATAAAGGTGTAAAAAGCCCAATCTTCAGTCTTCCATTACTCTCTTGAAAGGACAGTTTACATTTTAAAAGACCAGACTGATGATATCCACCCACTTGTACCACTGCTGCTGTGCTCAGTGTACTAACCAGTGCCTCAACTTAAAGTCATTTGTTTGACTTAACTTTCAGTTTGCAGATTAGTTCATCCCGCGCACCTGATACCATTATCTTGGGTCGCCTCAGTCTCAATGAATCTCTTGGCCTTACAGTCCGTATTTGTCCTGCCGATGAGATTAACACTGGAAACTTTCTCATAACCACTGCATTTCTTTAACCCTCTCCTGTTTTTGTTTCTGTCTCCTATAATGCATGTGTCTCTCTCTCTCTATCTAGTTTTCTCCTCTCTCTCACTCAGGCTCCTCTCTGTTGGACCACTGGCACACCCATCTAGATGTTTGGATCTGTGATCGTCGTCCGCAACAGTGTCTCCTCTCCTCTCTCCCTAGTATTGCATGTGTTTTCAGTTTGTTTGTCATCTCTCCTGTCTGTGTGAATGCTGTGCTGTCTTTTCTGGGTTTGTGTGGTCTGTCCTCCATTGGCGTCACTTGAAGTGTGTCAATGTCCTCCTGAATCCACACTTGTCACCTATGTTTTATAAATCTACATATATTTGTATTTCTGTCAACATAATTTGATATTTTATTCTATCCTGTGGTCTGTTCTCTTCCAGATCTGGAGAGGTGGTCCCCACCTACCAGAAATTCTGTCATGAAAATTTGTATGTAATGTGATTTTTCTTGTTTGTTCTGTACACTCATCATCTATTGAATGTCTGCCCATCCTGGGAGAGGGATCCCTCCTCTGTAGCTTCCATGTTTTCCCTGTTAAAAGGTTTATTTGGGGGAGTTCTCCTTACCCGAGCGAGGGTCTAATGACAAAGGACGTTGTACAGATTGTTAAGTCCACTGAGGAAAATTGTGATTTGTGATTTTCAGCTATGTGAATAAAATTGAACTTAGCTAGTTTAGACATACACACACTCATACTCACATTACTGCAAACATCACATCCATTTTGTTTTTATTAATGTGAGTTTCATTTCACTTTTATTTACATACTCTACTACAGGTACATCTTTGAGGTACTTGCACTTTACTTTTACAGTTTTATTTATTTTTATCTTCTTAGAGTAACAACAGGCTATGTATCTAAATACAGAAGCATATCCCATACTGTATATTATCTATCTGGCAAAACTTGAGTCTTAGTTCCCTAAATGTAAATGTTTAAGTTTTAGTTATTTATAAATTAATCTATGCCTACATCAATTTCCATTAAGGATTTAAAAGGATTAAAATATATTTATATTTATTTTAAATGATATTCAACCACCAGTTCTTGGGTGACTGCCACTGACCTGTGCAGACGACCGATGGTAGGCGGAGTAGTGGAGGGGGGCTGGGATCGCCGGGTCATGGGCCAGACTGGGATACTGGCTCTGGATGGAGTGAGGATGCTGGTTGGCGTAGCTGCCATAGTTGTAGCTACCAGTATACCTAGAACAAGGTAAGCTAAATTAATTCAAGAAGTCCAAAACTAAAATGTTTCCAAAATGCCTTGAAAAAAAGTTTTTAATACTAAAAATCATAATTACCCATGCTCCTCTCTGTGGGTGTAGACTGGCATCCGGTGGGTGGAGGATGGAGGTGGGGCTGGAGCGCTGCTCCTCATACAGGACAGCTGCTGTCCGGCCTCTGGAGTGGAGCCGCCTGCTGTTGTCACTGTGTATGTAAGGGACCAGGTATATGACTGAACAGCGCCTGGTAGACACATATATGGACACAGAAACAAATGTGTTGGCGCAGAGGAAGTATGTGCGGTGAGACATCCGTTTATTTAGGATATCTGTGTGTGACTGTCTCACCTGTGGTGGAGGTGACTCCGGTGTACTCTGGAGACACGGCAGCTGTTGGGGAGCTGGCCGAGGAGACGCCCACCGAGTGGACTGACCGAGCAGGAGAGAAGGATCCTGGAGACGGGGAGGTGGGGGTGGTTTCTGTCAGCGTGAATTCCTCCTCTCTCTCTGCTGAAAGTGTCAAGAGGGGACAAATCGTTAGACAAATCAATACAACAGGGATCTCTTGTGAAATAAAATTTGCAGTTACTTTGAGGGAGTTAAACTCTCTGTGAGTCAAGTAAAATTCATTTATAAGGGGCTTTTTTTGTGCAAACTGTAGTTTATAGACTTGCATGGACTGGAAAGAGGCTTCAAATGTTTTTATAAAATAATTTAGATGTACAGCAGGTACAATCTTTGCACTGCACTTTGTATGATGATGAAGTTAATTAATATGACTATTAATGAGCTGGAATAATAAAATCTTAGCTACCTCAGTAGAGCAAGAGATCAGCATTTCTTGCTAATGACCCCATCTTATGCTCCCAGAATTCTCATGACTTCAATAGTTTGAGGTTTCAAGTTGTAAAGTAAATATACTTTTTATACTTTGTTTACTTGAGAGCACTGAGGGAGAGTCACCAGTAATTAACGATAATCTTCATGAATCGTTAATCAGCTGATTATTTTCACAATGAATCTGTTTGGTGCATAAAATGTAAGAAAAACATCTAAGTGATGTCTTCAATTTGCTTATTTTGTCTGACTGACAGTACAAAACCAAAGCTATTTAGTTAATTATCACATAAAGCAAAGAAAGGCAACAATTCAAATGTTTTTGGTTTTTGTGTGAAAAAGCGCTTAAATGACAAAAA